TTTTTTTTTTTTAACGAAAAAACTTAATTCTTCTTTTTTTGTTAGATCAATTAACAAAATCATATGTGAGAGGATTTTCCTCATCAGCTAAAAAAGAAGATATTGCATCGGTAAATACTCAATCATCTTTTTTAACTTTAAAACAACCTACAGAATGACAAGAAAGATGATTCTTATCATCTAATGCTAAAGACATTGGGACTTTATACTTAATGTTTGCATTATTCTCAGGTTTATTAGGTACAGCATTCTCTGTACTTATAAGATTAGAGTTATCTGGACCTGGTGTTCAATACATTGCTGATAATCAATTATATAATAGTATAATTACAGCTCACGCCATAATGATGATTTTCTTCATGGTTATGCCTGGTTTACTAAGTGGTTTCGGTAATTTCTTATTACCATTATTAGTAGGGGGTCCAGATATGGCATTCCCTAGACTAAATAACATTAGTTTCTGATTATTAGTGCCTAGTTTACTATTATTTGTATTCTCTGCAACAATAGAAAATGGAGCAGGTACAGGATGAACTCTTAAGGATAGGGAGTTGCTTAGGGGTGACTCTAAGGCAATAAAACTCTTTTCGATGCGTGAACTTCTTCTAGAATTTTATTTAAATAAAATTCAGGTTATAGACTACCTATGCTTAATATTAAATTTAGCGTGTGTAAAAATGTCTATTTCATGGAGAAAATACGCCTGGGTAGGAAAAAATTATTCTACCCATCAGAGACTAAACAAAGAGTATCTTAATAACAATAACAACAAATATGATAAAATTTGATTTGAGCAATGATTAGTTGGTATGACAGATGGTGATGGTACATTCCATATAGCATATCAAAATGGTAAATGAAATTTAGTGTATAAAATAAGTTTATCTAGATATAATCTAAGAGCTCTTTATTATATCAAGAAAAATCTCGGTATAGGTGTTGTTAGAAAAGACAACACAAAAGGACAATTTGTCATTAGAGATAGAAAAAAATTAGCAGATGTAATTTTTCCTATTTTTGATAAATATCCTCTTTTAACTAGCAAACAATTTAATTATTTAAATTTAAAGAAAGCATATAGTATATTAGAAGATAAAAATCTTTCTAAAGTTGAGAAAGATAATTATTTGTTAGAAATAAAGAAAGAATCTATACCTAAAGGATATATTTCAAATGCTTGAAATAAAACAAAATTACCATTTGAAACGGTGGAAGATGTTACATCTGTAATGACTAAGCCATGAGTAGTAGGTTTTATAGAAGCTGAAGGTAGTTTTTATTTAGTTTCAAAGGATAAAACTAGAATTGTACATGGTTTTGGTATAAGTCAAAAATTAGATGAAATAGTCTTAGAAGGAATAAGACGTATATTACACATACCAACTGTTATTAGATTTAAATCAGAACATAATTATTATATTTTAGATACTACTAATTCAAGAGCCATTGGAAATATAATAGAATATTTCCGTAATACAATGAAAGGTATGAAATCAGTAGAGTATAGAATATGAGCAAGATCTTATGTAAAACATAAAGGAGATTTTGATAAATTATGTAAAATTAGAGATATAATTAGAAAACTTAAAATTAAACTAATGAATATCGAAGATTTTGAGTTATATGAAAAGAAATAAAATTTTATTGTTATTAAGATAAAGGTATAGTCCGAACAATGAGGAGACTCATTGAGTGTAACGATAATTTTCATAAAAAATGAAAATGAGGTTACCAACACATTGTTATCCTCCATTATCAGGAATCCAATCACACAGTGGACCAAGTGTTGATTTAGCAATTTTTGGTTTACACTTAAGTGGGATTAGTAGTATGTTAGGAGCTATGAATTTCATAACAACTATTTTAAATATGAGAAGTCCAGGTATTCGTTTACATAAATTAGCCTTATTTGGTTGAGCTGTAGTAATAACAGCAGTGTTGTTATTATTATCATTACCTGTATTAGCCGGTAAACATATAAAACTGCCGGTATTAAATTTGGCTATATACTGGAAACTGTTGTATATTTATAGATATATAACACAATCAGTAGGAAACCATCTAGGTTTAAACCTAGATGGGTTCTTCAGAGACTACACGCCAAAGTATTTTCATTGTAGATCCTTGCATTCGACGTACAAGAATAATTATAATGATAATCATAATAATTTACCTTTTGCTGCTTATTTAGCAGGTTTTATTGAAGGTGACGGTACTATAATAGTACCAAATACTTTAAGATCGCCTAAAGGTAAATTGAATTATCCTTCAATTCAAATTGTTTTTCATTTAAAAGATTTACCTCTAGCTTTAATGATTCAAAAAGAATTAGGTTTTGGTTCTCTTTCAAGAAAAAAAGGTGTTAATGCTTATATTTTGACTATAAATAATAATGAGGGTATATTATTTGTTATATCTTTATTAAATGGTAATATGAGAACACCTAAGATAAATAGTTTATATAAATTGATTGATTTTTATCAAGGTAATATAAATATTGAAAAAAAGCCTTTAAATAATAAACCCTTAGAATCTAATGCCTGATTCTCAGGATTTCTAGAAGCAGATGGTTCTTTTCAAGTTAGAAGTACTCTTAGTGGTAAATATCCTAAATTCGAATGTAAGTTGGAAATATCTCAAAGACAAACAGATCATAAAGGTTTTAGTAATCAGGAGTTTTTAAATAAAATTGCTGATTTATTTAACACTGAAGTTAAAGAAACAAGATTAAATAAATCTACTCCAGAGTATAGAGTTAGAACTACTAATTTACAAGGAAATAATCAAGCAAAGAATTATTTAATTAAATATCCACTGTTTGGAACTAAGTATTTAGATTCTATAGATTGAATGAAAGTTGTATATTTATTTAATAATGGTGAACATAAAACTGAATTAGGTAAAGAAAAAATTTTAAATATAAAATCTAATATGAATGATAAAAGAACTGTTTTTACTTGAGATCATTTACAAAATTTTTACAAATTGAAAATATAAAATATAGTCCAAACAATTTCGAGAGAAATTGAGTGTCTACCTTAAATAACGTAGCCCTACGGGGCGAAGTTATTTTCGAAACTAAGTTTTCTACTTATAGTTATGGGATTTTTTTCCAGTAGACCAATAGTAATTGGGTATTACTATGATCTTAACTGATAGAAACTTTAATACTTCATTCTTCGAAGTAGCTGGAGGTGGTGATCCTATTTTATACCAACATCTTTTCTGATTCTTCGGTCATCCGGAGGTTTATATTTTAATTATACCGGGATTCGGTATAATTAGTACAGTTATTTCAGCAGCATCTGGTAAAAACGTATTCGGTTATTTAGGAATGGTTTACGCTATGTTATCAATTGGTGTATTAGGTTTCATAGTTTGAAGTTGTATATTGGCTTCGCCTCATAGTGATATGGGGTTTAATTTAATTTATTTCGCTATATGCTGGAACGGTTTAGTGCTAATTGGTACTTTGAATAGTAAAAATTCAATTAGCTATACCCAATCAGCAGGCAATCTGTCCCTGTACTCATTTAAGAGTAAAACACGGAGTGCCTCAGAGACTATACGCGAAACATCTTTTAATTTTTCAGCATTTCATATGTATTATAATATGTTATTTGGAAAAGATGTGCAGCATTTATCCAATAATTGATTAATTTGATTTATTGGTTTTGTAGAAGGAGATGGTGCTATTCAAACTTATGCAAATGGTACAAGAGTACGTTTTGTTCTTACTCAAAAGGAAAGTGGTATTCTGTATCACATACATAATAAGTTGAGGATTGGTACTGTTAAGCATTTTCCACAAGGAATAAGTGGTAACAAAAATGATTTTTATAGATTAATTGTAGATAATCCCTCACATATTCTATTATTAGCCTTTTTATTTAATGGTAATCTAGCTCTTACAAACAGAATTCAACAATTAGCTCTGTGAGTAAAAGCTTTAAATAATCGTTTGGGTGAAAATACAATTTTATTGATTAATACCGCTGTTTCAGTAACATTACAAGATGCTTGATTATCAGGGTTTACTGATGCAGAAGGTTGTTTTAATGTATCTATTACATCCAATTCAAGATATGCATTAGGTAATGTAATAAAAATGCGTTATTTACTTGATCAAAAGGATAGAACTATCCTTTATACTATACGTGATCTTTTTGGTTTTGGTAAAGTAACCCTTAGATCTGAAACTAAAGGTGTTTACCGTTATACAGCTACAGGGTTTAAATCAATGAATGATGTAATATCTTATTTTAAAGTATTTCCATTATATACTAAAAAGGCTATTTCTTTTGAAAAGTGGTTAACTATCCATAATCTCGTTTCTAATAAATTACATCTTACTGAAGAAGGATTAGCCCAAGTAAGAGTATTACAGAAACAGATTAATATTAACAGTAGTATGACTAATAAAACAGGATCTGCACATCCTTAGAGTTATTAAATTGAAAGATGAAGATATAGTCCGATTCATAGGGTGACCTGTGCGCATAGCTATCTAGTTAAGCGGGTAGATATGAAGAATATCTGCTAACATTTTTGCATCACATGTATACAGTTGGTTTAGACGTGGATAAATTAGTGTTCACGGTAAAAACCTTGCTATATGCTGGAAACTCCTGAATAAATAGTCCACTCATATTAATTATGTTAGGTACAATCTATTTATATAATACAGGACAATCAGCAGGAAACTTTAGTTTTAGCACAAAAGCTACGGCAGTTGCTAAAAATATAAATACTAAATATTATAATTTGCCTACAATTTCTGAACATGTTTCCAAACATAAGAGTGATTTTTCAGATGATGAATTTGGTCATTTCTTAGCTGGATTAATAGAAGGAGATGGTTGATTCGGTAAAAAACAATTACATATCATATTTAGTGAAGATGATACATCCTTAGCTTATTTTATTAAAAAACGTATAGGATATGGTAATGTTTATAAAATTAAAGATAAAAAGGCAGTAAGATATATTTGTAAAAATCTAACAGGTTTATCTATTATTTTATCATTAATTAATGGTAAATTAATAAGTCATTATAAATATAAACAATTAATTAATCATGAATATAGTGAAGATTTTAATATAAAAATATTGCCTCCTTTAAATAAATTAAGTCTAGATAATTATTGATTAGCTGGTTTTACTCAAGCTGATGGTTGTTTTCATATTAGTGTTGCAAAAAGTAAAACACATAAAACAGGCCATAGTGTAAGATTAGAATATTCTTTAAAGCAAAATAATTATTTACCATTAAAATTTTTAATTGATTTATTAAAAAAAGGTAATTTATCTCAATATAGTTCAGGTGTATGATGCTATAAAAGTACGGGATTTAGTACAGCATATGATCTTATTAATTATTTTGATAGATTTAATCTTTTTGGGGGTAAATATGTAAGCTATTTAAAATTTAGAAAAGTTTATATTATGATAACAGAAGGTAAACATTTAGATAAAAAAGGTATAGATAAAATTATAAGTATTTCAACTAAAGGATCCTCAGAGACAAGCACGCAAGGAATTTAATAGATTTTAATTATTACCACTAATTAACTATTAAATTAAGATACTGTCCAAAGCTCGACTAGAGCGTACTTCACAGCTGCTACTTTAATTATTGCAGTACCAACTGGTATTAAAATATTCAGTTGATTAGCTACATGTTATGGTGGATCATTACACTTAACAGCTCCTATGTTATTTGCTTTAGGATTTGTTGTGTTATTCACTATCGGAGGGTTATTAAAAAACCACTTAGCTCTCCCTTTAAAGACTACTGTATGCTGGGAACTTCTGACAATTATGCTACTAGGTATTTTTTTTAAATTTCCAGTGACAATGCATAATTTTGAACAATCAGCAGGAAACCAACGGATGCTTACATGTATCTTAGTAGGATCCTCAGAGACTATAAGTAGTCCAAAGATTAAAATAATCTTTGAAGATATAGTCCGTGGAATAAAGTGTTTATTTATATATTTAACCTATTATAATTTATATTTTACTAGTACTCACCCTTATTCTACTTCAACTAATAACTCATGAAGACAGGATAATAAAAATTTAAAACCTGTAAAAGTTTATAATAGCTTAAAAGAAGATAAGGATCAAATACTAAAAGATCAAAAAGGTAAGTCTGGAGTTTACTATTTAGTAAACAAGATAAATGGTCATACTTATGTAGGAAGTTCTATTAATTTGGCTTCTAGAATGAAAAATTATCTTAATAATGCTTTTTTAAAAAGTAAACAAAATAGTAATATGCCTATAGTAAAAGCTTTACTTAAATATGACCAATCTAACTTTTCTCTTTTAATTTTAGAGTATGTTGAACCTGAGTATTTAATAACTAGAGAAACTTTTTATATAACACAAATTATACCTTATTATAATGTATTAAAACAAGGTTATTCTTCTTTAGGTTATAAACATACAGAAGAAACTAAAAAAATGCTTTCTGAATTAGCTAAAAATAGAACACATTCTGACAAAACTAAAGCTCTAATAGCAATAGCCTTAGTAGGTCAGAATAATCCTTTTTACGAAAAAAATCATTCTACTGAGTCTAAAATAAGAATGATTGAGGCTAAATCAGCTTATCCTGTTTATGTTTATAATTCCTTTAAAGAGTTGTTAGTTATTTTTCCTTCAGTTTTAACTTTAGCAAAATTAATTAAGTCAAATCATCCAACACTAGTAGATGTTATCAAAGAAAAAACAATATTTAGAGGTGAATGATATCTTAGTAATTTACCTTTAAATATAACTGATACACCTTTAATATCAGATTGATGCTCAAAAGAGTGTAGCAAACTAGTATCAGAGATTATCAATCAAAGTCATATTAGAAAAGCAGTGTTTGTGTATGATGAAAATAAAAAATTTATAGGTAAATATATAGGTGTAATGGATGCTGAAAGAACATTCAATATTAATCATAGTATTATAAAAAAATATGCTTCTGTAGGTGGTGCCTACAAGGGATATATTTTTAGTTATGAAAGAATATCAGATACACAATAACAATAAACACTTTATTCCGTAAGTGGTGTTGTTTTAGCTAACGCGTCACTTGACGTAGCTTTCCATGATACTTACTATGTTGTAGCTCACTTCCATTATGTATTATCTATGGGAGCTGTATTCGCATTATTCAGTGGTTGATACTTCTGAATACCTAAGATATTAGGTTTATCATACGATCACTTTGCTGCTAAAGTTCACTTCTGAATAATGTTCATTGGAGTTAATCTTACATTCTTCCCTCAGGTGTTGGGGGCCTATAATGGCAACATTATGGTGTAATAGGAGTCATTCTCCTTAAAACTTGGTAAATTGCTGGAAAGGTGTTTAACTTAACTTTAGATTTTTTGCATACTCTTGTGTCTATAGTTTAAGTTTTATTTTTAATACCCAATCAGCAGGTAATCCTTTAAAAAAGGCAACTTCAACGATCACGCGCCAAGTATCCTCCCTGTTTATGTAATAAATAATCATTAAAGAGATCGTATTTAGCGTTTCTCTTTAGTTTTCGTTAATTTTGCGCTATGGTTTTTTTTT